GAATGTTAAACACAGGTAGGTATAAAATTATTTTCTATTACGGACCACAATTTTACCTGAATTTAAATTCCGAAACTTTAGGTAATAATCTTGTTGCATTGTATGTTAATGACTACCCTTGGATAATCCCATTCAAAAGCAATTGGTCACTTTCTCATATCTATGAACAGACCATACCTATTATGATCGGTTATCAGGCGACTTAGACCACGGCGCGACGCCACAGGCGTGTCCCCAGAAGACAATGTTATCAGAGATTGTTGAGGACCCAAAGCATTGTAAGCATTTATTAGTACCTTGGCGATAAAGATTTTTTTATTATGACTTTACAGAAAGAAGTTTTTATTGAGTTAAAAAAAAAGAAACTTGTCTATCAATTGTCTTCTCAGTTTTAATACTTTGAACTCCAAAATGAAAGGAGTAATTTCGAGGAGTTTGTATTATGGTTGTAATTTCGAGACAAACTTTGTTACTAAAGTTCATAATGATGTTATTATTTTTTTTTATTTTCACTTAACTGTCTATTGTCGAAATCAAAGGGTGATACAACTATAACTCATGACATGACATTAACTCGATTAATTAATAGTAAGTAACATCACCAAGTCGCATTATTTAAAATTAAAAACAGTTTTGGGTTAGTGTAGGAATTTAAAATTAAATTAGCAGAATTTTTCAAGGCGATTAAGTTTTCTGCGCAAAGTCTTGACTGTCATACATTTTTTGTTTTGTTTTGGAAGGTGCCACGGAAAGTTACAAACGGCAAATCGAATCCTGTGCATTGTAATTTTCGTTTAACAATATTTGGGCGTCAGACAATAGTTTGAAAGTATGTAATTAAATATCCAACGTGCTGCACATTATGATTGCAGCGTGAAACCCAATGACCATTGCATAATGCATTAATTATATTTCTGTTGTGTTCGCTTCAAATAGTCACGATTTCCTAGTGTATAGCGTTTTATTTTACAAAAACAATAACGACAATTGACTGAAAATAATTTCGAATTTTAATTAACGGGTGTGTTGAAATTTGAGATTAAAACTCTAGGTGTGTTCACGAACGACATTTTGTTAGAACCTTCGTCCAATGATTTACGCACATATTTTGTGAAAATGTCCAGTCCCACGCCTTCCGTCAACGTGGATTCGTGTTATTAATCAGATATGAAATTGTAAACACCAAACATTACTAAATATAATATCTAAGATACCAGACCATTCCGATTGTTTTTGTTTTATTTTGGCAGCTATTTTGGTTCAATTTGTAATTTCGAAGTCGTAGAATAAAAACATTTGGGAGGACCGATCATATGCGAACACGGATTGATGGAAGGTTTCAATATTTTTTTTAAATTTCCAATTATACCAGGTTTGTGGGTACTCGAAATCTAAAAATGAAAACCCAGCCATGTTGAGTCTGGGAGATCGTATGTCTTGTACACACTTGAATAAAGAATATGGAGCAGAATATGCCGAAAGGGGATTTAAACAACATAAATATTTAACATTTTGTTTTCAAAATTGTACTAAAAAATGCGTAGATCGGGTGTCCGGAAATATCGAGCAAAAAATTACTGGAGAAAGTTTATATTGTATTTTCATATGAATTTTCTTTAATAACTTTTTATCTACTTTGCTTCAATTTAATTTATTAATTTATTAAATTTAGCACACCTACAACTAATTTTCTTTTGTATTTTTAGACCAAATTTGACATAAAACTCAAACGTAATTGTTTTTTCGCTTCTCTCCTGCGTGGGATATTGACCGGTCTCACTGATCTGAAAGTGAAAATCCTACAAAACCTAAAAGGGCCCCTTAGCATACAGAAATTTATTTCAAAAAATAGTTTTAAGCTATGTCCTTCAACAAAGTAGTTCAAAACACTGTCCAAATCTACTGTTAAATTTGATTTAACAAAAATAAACATAAAACCTTAATTTGAACTTTAATATTAATTTTTTGCACATCATTTGCGGACACTCCGTATGTCAGCTAGAAGGGTGTTTAGTCTAATACATAAACAAGGCTGAAAAGTTCTCTAAAACCAACAAAGAATATTTTAGAATGTTTTGTCAAATGCAGCCTTGCCAGATTTACACGAAATCAATTACAATATTGCAAATTTCAAATTTAACCTTCTGTATTTTGTGGCAGATTTAAGTTCTGTCCAAAATTGTTTTGTCTTCATCTACCACCTATTTCTCACCTTAAAAAAACATTCTTTTAGTAAAAATACCTTCTTTTTCGTGACTTAGACAATGCACGAATCTAAATCCAATCTATAATTTATTGTGTCCCAAAAATGACATGCTTTTTGAACGCTGGTTTTTGACATGGGTTAAGACCTTATTTTTCGAATCGGTTTTGCCATCGAAAAACTCGCGAATTTGATTAAGCGCGATTAAACGTGATGAGCGGCGTCGGATTCCTGATGAAAAGTTTGGCACCCGGGGGAGGTGCAAAGAAAAAGTCGGACAAGCAAAACAAATTGGAATTGGCGGTTTGTGGTCAGTGTCAACCGGATGTTGTGCCCCACTGGGACTCGGGTCCAGTTCCGATCACGCCGCCTGCAGCGTTTCTTCCGTCTGGATATAAGAGCAGGTCGTCTTCGTTTCGCAATAAGAAAGGTATTCGAAGGCACTCCTAATACCAGTTTTATATTTATTTTTTAATAAAATGATTTCTCCCCAAAAATTGTCACAACAAAAACTGTATAAACATTTGCAATTATTTTTAAATAGTTTTGGGAAGTTTTTTATTTATATTGTTATAAAATATAGTTGCTTCAAAACTTTTCGTGTTACACTATGAAATATAAATTACTTTTGTACGGAGTGTTTCAAATTTCAACTAAAAACAAAATGTGCTTCATTGACTACGGGTTCAGCTTATTTTGTTTCCCTGATTCAGAATCGAATTTGACCAGTTTCAAATTATGTAATCGTTTTGTTTACAGAAAAACAAGCAAAAATAAATCCTTATTTTACGTGCCAGAATTCACGGAAAGAATGTAATTTTTAATTGTCATCGTGCGTTACAATTCTGTATGTTGCGTCCTTCCAAGTCAAAGTTCAAGAATTGTAGAATACAATAAAAATTATTTTGATACTAAGCACAAGCCACCCTCTAAATGTAAAATTGATGATTACTTTATGGTCAAGAATTTTGACGCTACCCCCGCAGTAAACCAAAAGTTAATATCCAAATTTTGTAGACCTCATGAAAGTAATTATCTTTATTTTCTAACAGATACAACATTTCACTAAGTACACATATGTACCAGATGAGCACAAACAAATAACAGAAAATATTGACGGTAACATGTTTACCAACACAATATAAAACCTAACTAAGTCTTTTAATACTAGAGTAAACTGTCTCACTACAATTGCGATTAATGATGGTGCCTGTAAAAGTAGACTTCTAACCAAAAAGTTTGTGGGTGGACTTAGTAGATAGAACTCGCGACTTAACGTGAAACCAGATGTATGGCGGTAACTTAGAGCAGTCTATGGTACGCTTCCATAATTAAAAAAAAAAATTCTACAGTGTCCATCACACGTCATCGTGATCAGAGTTTCTCTGAAGGAAGTTTTTTTACAATGAAGTTATTTAGTCACAGATATCCAAATTACACGGAACATGAGGCGTGCGATTTGTGATTAGAACCGATTCCAGATTAGATATTTATATATTTTGATTATTATTATTATATCATGATTCTTTCTATAAGTTTTTTTTAATTTTTCCGTAATAACTTATTGGATTATTCATTATTGACTTCTGCTGAACAGTTTATATTGATTGAGAAATCTTATGTTGAACTTATTTGTGTAAGTAGAAATTTGAGTGTGTTGAAATTTATGTCTATTATTATGTTCCTCTATGGCGGGTTATGTTTAAACTTATCTTGGCTTGCATTCATGAAATGATATAGAAAATTACTAAGGATTTATTTAATTATAATTTTAATTATTTGCTATAGCGGTCCCCTCCGTTGCCCCTTAACCCTATAAAACCATTGAAATGATTTCAAAAAGTACTCGTTAAGAAATAATTTAATGTCAAAAAACTCAAAGGGATAGAAAAACTGAAAATGTAAATGTAAAGCAGTCTGTTATTAAACGTATCTGCCAATAGTATTAACGTGTAATGGAAGGAAAAGAATCCCCATTACGCGTCCCTCTAAGTAAAATTTTCCTCATAAAATTGCAGCTTAGATCCAGTTCACTGTTCAGCTTCGGTTTCCGCTGAGCCGGATAATCTAATTTCTCCTGTACAAGCAGATTTGAAGGTTTTTTCAAGAAGCCGTTTTCCCATTGTCCGACATAAATGTCTCCGAATTTGCGTATTATTATCACATTGACAACTGAATGTTCTACAATTTTCGACGAAAACGTATTGATTTGCACAAATACTAACAGTTGCATGGAAGCGCAAAATTTCGGACACAGTGTCTCGGTAAAAATGCCGACCCATATTCCCCAAAATAAGTCTGCAGTTAAAAATTCCGGAGATTTTATTTTTGGTTAATTTTCTATGTCTTTTGTTATTTGTTAGGTATGTTGGTCACGAAAATGTTGGCAGCTAAATTTCATTTGGTTGTATACGAGTCGTTTGTCGTTAAAATTACGTCCTCTTGCATCTTGAATTAAAAAAGTCAAATAAAAACAAAACGTTTTGTATGTTTATTTGTATAGAAAAAAGAAATCTCTTATACAAAATATTAAAAGAAATCATAATAATTAGAACTAGTCTAAAAACTAATTATAAAAATACATTTCTGGATAAGTTATTAGGTGAGTTATTAATAAACAAATAATTGATATCACAAAATTGTTAAAGAATATTTTAGCTGACGTGGTAGATAAAGTTTAAATTTCTATAACATTAAAAACGCTTCAAAAAAATTTTCATACAAATTATAGTAGCTAGCTAGCATCAAATTGCGAACGTGGTTTCCCTTGTTAAACACGTCTTTTTAACATTTTCAGATCCTAAAAAAGAAAAGACTGATGGAAACTTGGCACAGAATGGTGCTATGTCCCCGAACGGGGATGGTCCCTTGCACGTCACGCAGCCATCCGGTTGTCAGCAACTCGAAAGCAGCGGTGGCAACGGGAACATGTCCCAACATCCGGCCGGATCGAAACCAGAAAGGCCGAGCACTCTGGGACACGGAAAACTCACCAGGAGACTGTTGTGTTACCACAGCGAGCACTGTGAGTAAAGGTTACCGTTCCGGTTGAACGCAAGACATTCTATCTCAAGATTTTCATTAGCTACCTACAAAACCTGGAAAAGTAATATTCTTAAAGGGGTCAGGGAAGGTTGTAGATTTTTCCATTTTCGCATTTGTTACTGAAAATCCTGTTCGAGATATTTCAATTATCCCATTATCGCAAACTTCCGAACCATTACAATTCATTCATAAAATAATTCTTCAATTCATACTATGCGCATATGCTTCATATGTAGCGATATCTATGAAAACTGGTTTTCACTAAATTTTAAATCACTGTTTAATTAAAATTTAGAATGAAAACACTTCTCAAATCGCAAAAATCGTGAAATGCAACCAACAGTAAACAACCAAATTCGACGTCAAAATTGGTGATTTTACAATTCAATGAAACCTCTGGCGGAAAAAATTTACCATAGTTTGCAAGTAAAATTGGAGTTGGTTGCATTGTGTTTATATGACGTTAATGTTTGCGTTGTGTTTTTTATGTTGATATTATTTTAAAAAAATGGTTCGTTTGGTATAGTTCGAGATTCAGTGCCTTTAGGGATTCATCCAAAAGTTCAACAGTAAAGGAAAAGCTTACCGGTTGCAAATCCAAACACAAAACAAATTGCTCTGTTGATAGATGTCACTATGTCACTAAAATATAATATTAAATTAGCACTTAATGTTGCTGTAAAAAAGCGGTTTACGTCAATCTCCATAAAGCACACGCCACAAAAAATAATAACAGAACAACAAATTCTCGTTTATGCACATTGAGATTACAACACGCCACCACCGGAGAAAAATTTCGCGAGTTCTTCATGTAAAAAATGCCAAAGTATACGACATGTCCTCGGATATGTTGTTTTTAAGCGTCCTGGTAAAATTTTAATTTAAATATTTTTAAATATAAGTTATCTGGTGTAGGGCTCTATGGCTCTAGTTGGGATTTTACGATTATCTGCAGCGTCTTCTCGCGATGAATATCGAATATTCGAGTTCTTTACCAAAAGACGAGCCCTGCAGTCAAGCATTTGTTAGCGGATTACAGCCCGTTCGGATTTCTCATCACAGTATTATATGTTTCCAGTTAATGAAGGGCAGCAGGGACCACCTGGCAGCACGCCACCTCCCCAAGAGAAACAGCCACACGGCATGCCGCCCCCACCCATGGCAGGCCCCGGGATGTTCATTCTTTCGGAACTGCCCGAACCTCCCATACCAGTGTCTGAGATAGGACCGATACCACCACCGCCGATGTTCAGTTCGCCAAGTCCAATGCCTCACAGACAATCTTCCCCGTTACCGAATCCCGGAGACTACGATTACGAAGGTTGTTATCTATTCATTGATGTTGTTCAACAATTCATTGAAAAGCAACAAGCTACTTGTTATTTTAAGAAGTCGTTTGTTGCGGTAAAAATCCAAGGATGTTAACAACATTGTAATTAAGATTCTGCGTTAGTATTATTTTCGCCTGCGTTGTTAAGTGTACCTCGTAAACATCGGGGGTATTTATTCAAATGTAATTAAATAAATTACTTAGAGATCACATGTTGCAAAATATATTTTCTAAATTTTCAAAACTCCCATTACATGGAGTCCGGGAAATCAGCATTTGAAGGACGTGCAATATTTGCCGAGAGGCATAAGACTTTTTAAAGAAATGCAAATCACAGATTTTTATTCTACCATAACATTGTTCCGGGATTGAATTTTGCATATTTATGACTACCCACCAATCCTAAAACGTGTTTGCGATTTTCTCATCAACATAAATAATTCATCCAGTTAATAATCAGCTACCTAACCTTTCGGGTATCGAAAAAATTGTGTTACCATTTCTTGTTTCCTGTTGCAGCTATCTACAAAATATATCTTAAATAAAAAATAAACAAAATCTTACACAGAAAAATATAATAAAAAGGATTTTATATAATAAAACACCCCCAGAGTGGGTCTTCTTGTCTTTGTTACGGTTCGGTGCTGCGGGCAGGAAGTTCCCAAAATCTGTTTTTCTATCATTTTTACTTTTGAATACTAAAACTGAAGCAATATGCAGAAGAATGTCCTTTTCGTGAGACACAGTGAAATGTATTAAAAAAAACTAATTTGGTATTGTCGTTCAAAACCGAATTTAATAAATAGCCTATCTGTTTGTAGAAAACGATGAAGATGAGGATTACGACCCAGAGTATGATGACGAAAATTCGTACATGTACAGAATGCCTCAACCAGATCCTGCCATAGACACAAGTCGAATAGACGAAATACCTGCCAAAGAGCCAAAGTTCAACGCTATGCCTTTAAAGTCTGCGCTGAAGAAGAAGAACAGTTCGGGTACCCCCCAGGGTACCCCTACCCAAGAGAACAGACCGCTCACCATCAGGCAGCAAGAGCACAATTCTAGTTTTAGGTGAGTAGTCAATTCAACATTTGGTTTAAGTAATAAAACAGTAATTTGAATCATCTCCTTGGATTTTTTCAATGATACGAAAATACATTCTTGTTTAGCTAATAATATGTTTTGTTTCTAATCCCATATGTTTTCTCTTTTGTGACCACAGAAGGCCGTCTTTAAGGCCTAGGATAAAGTTATGGTAAATATTGATGTAGTGTGAGATTTTGATGTGCCTTTAAAACCATCATTCATGTTCATTTTTTATATTCGGATCATTTCATTTAGTATAGAAAACTATTAGGTTACAACATATAGACGGAAAACATTTTAAGACTTTCGCACCTAGCGTTCCCTTTCTTCCTCGTGCTCTGTTTTTCTATAGCGTATGTTAAACCTTATTGGCCAAATCTAAATATTACCAGGCGAACAAAAAATCGAATGCTATGGACAGACGGCGTCCCAGAGTTGTTGTGTGAAATTCCCACACCTCACCGTGCTTAGGCCATTCAGTGTGCGAAAAGGCTGAAAGAGCAATTCGAAGATTAATCCCCAATTATATTTCCAGTTCGAAGCCAAAGTTCGGGATAGCCATAGAAAACAAGGAAAACACTCGACCTTATGTGATTCGGGAAGATGACAATGATAGTGATTCCAACGATGGACCGATACACTATCGGGACGATGACGGCAACGTGTCCGAAGATAGTCAGTTGGCGTTAAAAGTGGCGAGGAAAGAAAGCTTGTCGCTAAAATTGTCATTGAGACCGGATAGGCAGGATCTGATCAACAGGAACATACTGCAACTTCAGAGCGAAAACGAGCGGCAGGAATCGAAAGAAGCAATTGGCGCTCGATTGATAAGGAGGCTAAGCATGAGACCTACTCAAGAGGAACTGGAAGAAAGGAATATCTTAAAAAGTAGGTTTAGTGTTTTGATCTTTTGCAGGTGATTTGTGTGTGTCTTTCATTGTTTCATGTTATAAGATGGAAACCAGATTAAAATAAAAAAATAATTTTTTATATCTCAGAATCATCTCGGTGGGCTCATTTGGTATAATTTTTTTATGTTTACTCAGGACAGCTTAATCAGTCAACAATTGAGTGAGTGATGAGTTTTTTAATCAAATTTCACTATACTAGTAATACTCAAAAAGGCTAAAACCAATAGCGCGGGCTTCAAACAATCTTTTGTTTACATGAGTTTAATTGCCGTTCTTTCTTAATGTATGTTGTAATATTATCTTTTTTTTTTGTTTTTGCACCTTGACTTACATATAACTATTTTACTTTAGAACAAAGTCCCGCGGAGGAGAAGAAGCAAAAAGAAGAAAAAAAGCGATTTCTGCTTCGTAAACTTAGCTTTAGGCCGACGGTCGAGGAGCTCAAGGAAAAGAAAATCATCAGGTTTAATGATTACATTGAGGTGACGCAGGCGCACGATTATGACCGGCGGGCGGACAAACCCTGGACGCGGTTAACAACAAAGGACAAGGCGGCTATTAGAAAAGAACTGAACGAATTCAAGAGCTCGGAAATGGACGTGCATGAAGACAGTCGCCATTTAACAAGGTCAGTTTGTTGCTTAATTAATTAGTTACTCGCGGCTTTTATACTGGGTGTATTTATTTTTTAGTTAATTTTTCCACGGTTTTGTTTTTAATTTGTTATAGTTCAAAGAGTGTTAACTTGGTCGGTTACTTTTAAGGGGGAAAGAGAAAACAAAGAAATTACCGATTTTTCGGTAGAAAAAGTTTATCACAGAATCGTCGATTTAGTAGGTGGTAAATTATCTGTCCTACTCTATTTGGTTAATTGAATTTAACATTTAATCGGAAAATCTTATGTTGGTTTTCATGATTTTGTCCGAAAACTTAAAGTGTCTATTATAAACAAGGCCCAATTAATTTTTATTTGTAACTAAAGAAACGAGTAACAATTAATAATATCGAGAAAACCTGAAAATTCATAATATGTAGTCCCTCTTCTTGCATTTATGACTGTTTGTAATCGACGAAACCAGCTTTGAATTATATTATGGATAACGTGGCGCATTAGCAACTCTCTCAGCTCTTGGACACGTGGAATTGGTGTATGTCTTTGAATACGTCGTCTCATCCAGATATATAGTTATTATTAAAAGCGTCGTTCTGTATAAAGACCAACTCTGTACATGCGTCTGAACTGATTCCCTCCTTCCAAACCATAACCGAACGAGCACCATGTGGAAGGTTTTCATCAATACAACCTGGCGCATATCTTTCTCCGAGTCTCTTCCATACTCTCCCACGTCCATCTGACCTGGTGAGACAAAAACGGGAGTTATCAGAAACCATTCACATTTCTAACCTGCTGAAGTTGATTTCGAATCCAAACCGCAGAAGCTGTTCTATTCCGCCAACTTGCGGACCCAAAAAATCGATCATCCCGTTCGTTGGACATCCTTTTTTGACCGGATCCTGGCGTTTTGGTAATCGTAGCGCTGGTAGACATTTTGTACAACACAGATTTCTACCAACAATTCTTGCAGTTTCCCGTTTTCCTCGACCCTCTTGTATTAATGCTACAATCCTAGCCACAACAATAGGATCTAAAGGTATTATGGTCAGTTAAACACACCCTAGAATTTTTAATTGGGCCGAACTTGGTTATTTAAAATTTGAATATCGAATGCAAATAATTCACTGCCTATTAGATCGACCATTCGGTAATAAAACTTTTTCCAAATTATTTGAAATTTTTTGAGTGACCTAAAGTTTTTGCTCGCCAGTGTAAAACTTTCTTTTTTGAGATAAATTAGGAATAAAAAGTATCGCAAAGTAATCATAAGCAGAATTGTAAAGAGAAGGTAAAAATAATTATGACTCTTTACCATTTAGAATCAAATGCATCAATTACTTCGAGCTTAAATATATTGAAGGAAGGCTGTTTATATCGAGTTCTAAGAAATATAACAAATACAAATTATAGAGAAATCATTTCAAATTATCTTCAACCGAATTTTCAAATTATCTAAAACCGAATTTGAATTTGGTATTCTTGCTACCCAAATGTTATATATTTTTGTTTTAGAAAACTGTGCTTACAGCCAAAATTACGTTACTTTTCGTTAATAGGCAATAATATTTTTTCAGATTTCACAAAGTTAACACTAAAATTGTCCATAGGCAAGGACGCGTTGTTTGGGCCAGGGCCCCCGTCAAGCCTAACTTTAAACTTAACATGCATTATATTCTTAGTATGTAGAGAAGATAGCGTCGCCGAGATACTTAAAGTGTCATTTCAAAATGACCCCGTGTAAGTAAATATCGTTTGCAGTCTCATTATTTTGAAAAACGCAGTAACAATTTGTTTCATAGTAGATTGTCATTATCTTTTGTCCCGCTTACTAACTAATTGCTTATTGACAATTTTAGTGTACACTGAAGGAGATGGAGGCTTTTGTTTGTAAAAGTGTCTTATTACTGTCCGAAATACTATTACATTTGTTCGACTCCGATTTTTTAATTATTAAAGTACTGTCCTGGTCAAAAATATTTATAATTAAGTCTCTAGTGCTGTTTGGAGTACCGTAAACTAAAGGTTTTATTATGATGTTGCCGCAATGCATCTTATACAACCAATAGGAATAAAACAGGTTAACGGCAATTAACTTAACTTCGTAAAATTCGTCGAAATGTTGTGTTTTTTTTTGGTTATAGAAAACAATTCTCTAAGGAAATGTTTTATAACTTTTAGAGACTTGTTACTGTGTATATTGTGTTTTATTTACACATTTAATAAAAAATTATAATTTGATATTGTTTTAAATTTTCAGATTCCACAGGCCTTGACAATTGCAAGGTTCATTAGAAAAAAAACAAATTTCTGTGATGGGCGTAGCCGTAGACTTTATTAATTTTCCCCTAGCTGCTTAGCATGATTTTTGGACATGCTGTATATACGACAATTTTACGGATAAATTAATTACACAGAGGTGTGTAAATATATGTAATAATTGTTTTTGTACATAAGTAATTTTATATTACACAAAATGTTTTTATCAATAGAGTTTAATAGTAGATAATGGAAATCTTTTTGTGTTAATTTTTTTTGTTGGAAGGAACAAAACTAGCAGTTTGTAAATAAAGCTTACGTTACTATAAATACATCACTGGCGTGCAATAAGTGAGCACCACTGTGAATGATTTTATCCTTAGGTAATATCTGTATCTACCATATTGCAAGAAAACTGGCATTGCGCCTTTAGATCTCTGTTTCGTGCGTCATTTTCTCCTTTTAACTTGTTTTATAAATGTATTGTATTTCAAATCTATTAAGGTTCACAATTTTAATTTCATTACTACAGAAATTCGATTTTCGTAAATTTGAAGTTTTAAATATTTTTGTACATGTCTTTAAGATTAAGACATCACAAATACTAGCATTGCAATGTCTATGTAACATATCCAACATTTTTACTGCAATTTATATTTTGTGAAGTGATCAAATAACTTTTATCTATTTAAGCTCAAAAGTTATGAAGTTTTTTCTTTTTAATGTATAAATTCGTCCTGTCAATTTTTATTGCGGATTTATTTTATCTTTTTTATTTCGTTTAATGTATAGAATGTTAATAAACCAAATTTCGAAGATATTTCTAGACACACACTGTTGTATATTTGGAACTAGAGACAACTCTTGCTGTTGGCGATTAAAAACAAAAATGGTTTTTCCTAAAACCGTCAATAAACGCTTGCAAAATAGTTTTTGAAAATTGTGCTTGTTAAAATGTGGCGTTTTATGCGACAAGTAAAAATATACCTAATTGTATTCATACTCGATCGATTTATACCAACTTTAATAACAAGAAATGTCTTCCAAATAAATAAGACATTAAAATTGGATGTTGTTTCATTTCAAATATTTTGCCAATTCAATAAAACAAAATTGCGATCTACCAAAAACATGTATTTTCTGAAAGCTGATGATTCTTCAGAGCTGCCGCTAAACAGATTAAACAGAAATTCTACACTCACAGAACTCGCTTTTTTTTTTAATTAAATGGGATGAGTATACAGGGAGTCAACAATTTATATTATTAATATTACAAGATGTTAGAAAAATAACAATTACAATAAAACTAAAAAAAATGGCCAAACTCATTTTTCTCCAATTAGTATTTGTATCAGGTAGTATATTCCGATTATCTATAGTTCTCCAGATATTGCCATTTTTTTTTATTTGGTTTCCTCCTAAGGTTCAATTAATCTAAGTTAAATCTTCCTATTTTTAAAATGTCTTTTTGTAAATATTTAAAAAATAATAAAAAATTCCACCAACAGTAAATTTTCTTATATTTGGCAACCTGAACTGGATTTTAAAAAATCAACAAAACACAAAAAAACATCAGGCTTTAAAAAAGTTATTGACAAATAATGCAAAACCTAAAATAAATCGTAATGCCAGCGAAATCGACCTTAACAAAGTATGTGGTGTATCGTTTCCTATTTTTTATTACGTGAAACTACATAAACAAAGCGCACCTTTTAACTTTCTTTAAATAACACAGACTTCTTTCCAGTTGACCTTGTTGATTCAGATTTCAATATACTTTTAGCTGGAGTTAATCCATTAGGCCCTTGCTTGATGGCTTGCGATATTTTCATTAAGGTTAAACCTAAAATATTGAGCACATCAATTTTTCAACATTATTCTAAGATGTCGAAAAGAAGTGAAGAATTTCAAGGACACAACCAGAATATTTCAATATAACAAACAAAGACCACTCACTTGGTGAAGAACTACATCGTTTGTTGGTTTCATTGTACAGTTGGGATAATCTCTGACTTCTACGTTTTAAAGAGGAGTTTTCCTTTACATTAGACGATGCTACTATAGGTACAACTATTTCATTGCCAGAATTTTCTTCTCTTCTCTTCTGTTTCTGCACTTTGATAAATTCCATAATTTTAGACGTCTTTGGTTTTTTTAGTTTTTTTGGACGTCCCCGGGACTTTGTACTTTGTGTTTTTGGTTTCTGCTGTAACATTTCCTCCCAATTGTTGTGCTTCAATCTCTTTAGGTTTTCGAACCTCTTATCTATATCCTCCACTTGTATATAAATCATATCCCAAAACCCATGAAGATCTTGACAAGTCACAGTTTGAACATCACTTGAATTTATTCTACAGCGGTCAATTAAACGACGAAATTGTTCAAATTTCTTTGATATCAGTAGTTTTGATTGGCCTATTGCCACATTAATGGAGTCTATAGCGACCACAGGTATGTCAGGAGAAGCCAGATAATGCCGCCACTCCTCACACATCAACTCGATTCGTTCTATTTCCAATTCCAGTTTATTTGAAAAATACTTTGCCCCAGCCTTTGGGCTAGTATACTTATCAGAAACAGAAATATTATTTGAACAACTGCGTCTGTGAAACTCGTTTCTTGCTGATTTTTTTCCTCTAGATATTGTTACAAATGGGCTTATATATAAAGTTGGGGAAGTTGAGTCAAGTGAAGATTTCAATGGCGTTTTCACAAATTCAAAGCTCTTATCTAAATCACTGCTTTCGATGGGATTATCTGGCAAAGTAGAGTGCCTATCTACTGAAGTCTGGCATTCTGACTGAGATGTACTAGCAATTCTTACTGGAGTCTTTCTAAATGTAATCGGTTTTACTATACTTGGCGTTTCAAAAGTATTTGATACATTCCATAAGACAGACTTTTTCTGAGTTCTTTTTCTCAAACTATATCTTTCTGGTGTAGCTATTTCTGTATTACCATTTTCCTTTTCATCATCTTTAACTTTTCTTCTTGGGCGCAAGCAAGCCTTGATATTGTTCTCTTGAGTTACTTCTAAATCATGAATTTGTGTATCCTCTTCATGTACCAAACTATTTCCAGCACAACTCATGTTTATTAAGACTGATTGTTCTGCCTTGTCACATTGGTCTGGTTCTGGGATCTTAATGTAGTTTTTATGAGTTACTTCTAAATCATGAGTTTGGGTGACCTCTAGTTGTTTTGAGCTATTTCCATCACAATTGCTATTTATTTCACATGGCTCTGGTTCTTGGCTCTTAATGTTGCTCTCTTGAATTACTTCTAAATCATGGGCTTGCGTGTCCCCTTGATGTACTGCAGCATTGCCATCACAATTCTTGTTTATTATATCTGAATCTTCTGCCTTTTGACATGGGTCTGGTTCGGGCGTCTTGGTCTCTATAATATTAAAATTTATTAAAATCTGCATTCAGATATCACTTTATAACGATTGGCTACCTGTACCTCAGATAGGTAGGTAAGTAATAATACCAAATGCTTACTTTCAATCTTTTTAATGCCCTTTTTCAATGTCTTCTTATTTTGCATCCCTTCATTTTGTGTCCCTTTAGGAAAAGATGGATTATTTTTGGCAAATTGAGGTGTAATAATTTTTGAAGCACGATGAACTCGCAATTCTACAAAAAAACTTGTATTTTTATGTCTTGTCCTTGTTTTTTAGATGAAACTTAGATAAGTGAGTAGGTAACAAAAAATTAATAGTTTACTTGGGATCTTTTTGCCATCTTCCTTCACTATGCTCTGGGTTCCTTTAGAAGTTGATGGATTAACTTTGTGATCTTTCAGTTTGACACTTTCTAGAGCACAATGAACTCCACTTGTTTTTGAACTTCCACATGCCTTCTGTGGCGAGAGATCAAATGTCAATTGCCTGGTAAGTCCCTTAATTGTTGGGTTTGTTAGTTGTTTTATCGGTTTCAAACCACTTGGTGGACGGAATACATGATTAACTGGGGCAAACTGAGATTTCTTTAAAACTGGAATTGGTTTACCTAGAATGTATAAGAAACCAGTCATATAAGATAATATTAAAATTTACCAAGTTATTACTATCACATCTTTTTATATTATAAAGATAAATTACTCACCCTTTATAACTTTATTAACATTTTCAAGACTTGGAAAGGAATCTGTAGCAACATGGAATACTTTAAAGATTGGCTTTGCTCTTGCTTTATTTTGCTGTTTTGCTTTTGCTCTTTCCATTTTCCATTTTGATAAAAGTTCTAGGCGTTTGTTAGGTACTGCTGTTGATTCATTCACCTTCTTGTCAATTTTTTTAGGATGCTCCTGGACGTCTGCATTTTTATTTTTGTTTAAAATTTTAGAACTGACTTTCACCTCTTGTTTAGGAGTATTTATGGGAGATATGTTCCAATCAATATTTCTTCTCAACAAAGCCTCATTGTCCTTTTTTGCTTTGCGATAATTGTTATGAAGGTCCTTTCGATTTTGAGTAGATTGGGCTACATCCATTTTGTGCATGTTCAATAAAGCTCTTTTAAAAACCTCTGAAACATCTTCCATTATCCTTCAAAAAACAAACTACTAAACCACTAAACTAATAACAGTGTGAATTTAAAAAATACCTCCTTAAAAATAAAAAAATATAGTCTCTTGTCCTGTACTAATAAAATTATCACGCCCGATTACAATACCTCTCGGAAGAATAACTTTAATCTTCACTGCTAACTTAAAGAAAAACCGTTACCAATTGCTTTTAAATTCTTTGACAGCTGTTTTTCTCTGCTGGTGGTTAGTGTTGATCAGTTTCTGTTAGTCTGTTGTTGAGTTGAGAGGAGATGGCACATACAGCATTAGCATAACAAAAACTATCCATATACTTACCGGCAAATAGAGCCAGCAATATTGGATTACGGTTAAAGATTTAAGACATTCTCATTTTGCTTAGTCGAAAAAAACGATGTTAACCACGGACCATACCCGACGGATGGCGGCAATGGGCAAATAGAAACAGTGCTCTTCCTAATATCTTGTAAAACGAAAAGAAGAAGGCAGAATAAGTTGCCCAACAGTTTTTTGTGAAACGCACCATTCAATTGAATTGAAATTCATTTTCATAAACGTATAGGTTTCGACTTGCCGGAGGTTGTCGGTTCAATCCCCATCGGGTGCCTTGAGTGTTGTAATTGTTAAAAAAATTTATAAGTTACAAATTGCTTGTAAGCTGACCGAATTGCCTAATGAAGCAGTGGTCAAATAAACCGTAATTTTAAAAAAACGAAAGATAACTTAAATGAGTAAATAGTTGAGTACCAAACATCTTTTTATAGCGCCGTCTCCCTTCGAATGTTGGCGATCCATATAGCCAATCGAACCTTTGACACTGCTGTCCGGAATATATCTATCGAATTCTTACGTCTCAGCACAGATCTTTTGCCCTCTAGGTCCATAATTCCCCATATCTTTCCCCACAACAACAAAAAACTATTATATGTAACCAAAATTACACCCACAAGTTATAATTTGTACCAAAAATAATTTTGCATATATGTAGCTACTTAACACCAACACTGAAAAGTAGTTTATTGTATTAAAATTTAAACCCAAAACCTTTAAAAACAAAATTCTACCTAAACAACTACAAGTAGAAATTGCATCGTAGAGGTGAATCTGTCCATATATGGACTTATTTTGTCTTTAACTATGCGTATTTGAGGCGAACCGTTTTCCCTACAGTTATATCCATAATTGGCAAACGATATTCTGAGGGCAATCTTTTCTTAACCTGCGGCAGTATATACGGTAAATTAGTTATAATGTATCATCACAACAATCCAATTTGCCACACAGGTTTTTGTGTGTTACCGTTCTCCTTCACACTAATATAAAAAAAACTCTAACTTATGTATCAGGTAAATCCAATTTAGCAAACTAATAGAGACATTGCCATATCAAGTTTGCTGATGAATAAATAATGGCATTCGCGACAGAACTTACCAAAATATGTTATTCTTTTTAAAACGCCTGGACCAACATGAGTTTCCAGAGACTTACGTTTAGCATTGAGCTTTGTAAAGATAGAAGCAAGTCTGTAACTTTTATAAATGTTCCGTCTGTTATTTTTATAAAATGAAAAATTAACAACACAAATTTGATCTATTAATTATCACTTTATATTATGAAATGTTCAAAAAATATCACTTGAAAGTTAAATTTCTTTTACAACACTTTTTTAATTTCCAGTGTGTTCCACTGGTACATTTATTTGGAAATGTAGCTGCACAACTAAATTTTGGGACCGAGAAAAAAGTCTGAGAACCTCTTGGTTTAACTAATATCAACTTTTTGAACTAAGGAGACAATGGTACGTCATATAGCATATCTGGGTAGCCTGGATAACGCTTATGAGAAACAACTATCTTCTCGGATTTTCTATTTTCTGCATGTCTACTCATATTATTATAATAGGCAAAGAACATTATGGTATGGTATTATGGTGGGACAATGAAGACATGCATTTAGAAAATATTTATGTTGACGACAGCATTGAGTTTGCCTGTTCATCAACAATTTAAATAGTTCCTGCCGTTTATTTTCAAATTAATTTTACTACTGCCGCTGATTTGCGCAAACGCTGTACTTACATTTGTATCACCACTTTATATTATTTTTTTATAGAGAAAAAAATATCTTAAGGGAAATGGATTTTAATTTGAAAATCGCCACTTCTCACGTGTTACAAAATATACTTTTAATTAAAAAAGTTAAAATACAATTACACCTTACGATTGCTAATATATACATTAGAAAATCATCACAAGGAATAAAAAGGTACTGGGCACTATTTACAGTAAAAAAAGATCATCCGATCATAAAAAAAAAACGGCCACAAGGTGTGAGAACCGCAAACTTCTGATATTCAAGCAGTCAATTTAGTCTTAAAGAAACTTTTGCCTAAGTAGGACTATACTGTTATACAGTTTAATCGCAGGTCCCACCTTGATATTAAAAAACGATAGTATATCCTTTTGACTTAAGTATAAAAATGATTCCCCGTCAACGTTTTTACTTTTAAATATATGACTTGCAGTCTCACAGCCTGGTATCGAAGCGACGAATTGAGCGACATCTTCCGGCGACCATGCCAAAACGCTCTCAGATAAATCCAGGTATTTGTTTAAAAATCTAGAGTGCTTTTTAAATGATTCCTTCTCAGCGGGAAAACACTTGGATTGTTCTAGAAACTCGGTGGCAAGTTTCTGTTGCGATGATAAATCCTCTTCTTTTTTAATGGGAACTGGTTTTTGCTTCTTTTCTTTTGGTTCCTCTTCAAGATCAGGTTTAGTGTTTTCACGTTTTAAGTATTTTGGTGGTCTTCCAACTCTGGGCTTTCTATTCATAGAAAAATATTGTTAGTTGTTTGTTTTTTTTTTGTTAAAAGCTTGCATCCTTACATTTTGCATTCTTTCGGCTCCCTTGACACTGGTATGACCGCCTCTGGATTCCTGTCTGGACTTAAAAGGCGATCGGGTAACCTGCGTTCCATATCAATATTTTCTTCAGCATAAGGGCAATACTTTCGAGAATTATGTGTTGGGTACTTTAGGCCTTTAATGTGACCCAGACCTCTACATCCTACAGTAGGGCATTCAAGAAAATCGTACACATCATCTGGTGCTAAAATAATAACATCGATGTATGTACAGCGTACAGAAAGACAATGGACCAGACTTACTTAAAGGAGGTTCAATAGGATGGCCAGTCTTCTGACACCAACCAATAGGATGAATATCCGGACTATCGTCATCAACCCAATAGCTGTACCTGTCAGGCCAACCATCAAAATGAATTCTGATTTGGTGCTCCTTAACATCATCAACGGTTGAAACCCTTATAAGATGAGGAACGCGTTTGTCCACACATTCCAATCTCATGCCTCTTTTAAACCCACAAGCAGGGCGCTGCTTAAAGGCCCTTACTGGAGCGGCTGCTGATTTCGATTCTTTTAGATAGACTTCCCAAGAAAAAGTTTCTGGGGTTGGATAATCTACAACAATTTGTTTATTATCTTTTTTTTTTTCAACTTATTCAACAACAATACTTACCGCTGGGAGGTGTTAAATTGTGACCATATTGATCGCACCAACCCACTGGGTGTATGTACGGTGAAGTTGGATCAGCCCAGTAATCATATATGTCATCCCAACCATCAAAGTGCACCAGTATTCGATTATCCATCATGTCTCTAACAGTTGCTACACAGACCAAAGAGGTATTTTTTCTGTCGACAGCTTCCAGTTTCATTCCAATTCTAAATCCATTTGGACAAATAGCCTAAAAACGTCAATCTCAATTATTCAAAATAATACTGCTGACATTCTTCTCACCTGTCCAGCTCGATTGGCAAACAAATGCTTTGGGGCAGCTGTAGACTTAGTCACTTTCAAATACTGGATCCAATTAAAATTGTCGACTGAATAACCAGATGGAGGTTGCAACGTATGTCCATATTTTTCGCACCAACCCATTGGAAATATATCCATAGAGTCCGCGTTGCACCAAAAATCATAGTTGGTAGGGTATCCATCAAAGTGAACTCTAATTCTATATCCAACAGTTTCAACAACAGACAAAACACAAAAATATGAGGGATGTTGCGGATCTACGCCTTCAAACTTCATGCCCGTTCTAAAACCATTTCTGGTATAAGGAAATGGTTCCTTGAACAGTTTAACAGGAGCTGCCTTCGCCTGAACGTGAGTAAGGTATTTAGACCATGAAAACCCTTTCTTTTTACATGCCCATGGATACGAAAACTTATCTTGAGAAGCTTCATTATTTGAAATTTCATCTTCACTTCCTTCCTGAATTTCCTGTTTCAATTCGCATTTTATATCGGTATCCGATTTCATTTTACCAAATTTTCTCTTTTTTTTCTTTATTTTTATATCTTGTATCTCGCGCTTTTTTGCGGCCATTCCCAATTCTTGACAGTCAATACTGCAATAGTCTGAATTAATAAAATCTGATCGTAAACCATAACAGCCACATTCTAGACATCTTATCTCTTCTTCCAGTTCTTCTTTCATTTTTTCTCTAGCTTTTTTCAATCTCAGTTCTATGATGTTTCTATAATCTTCATCAGAAACATACTCGATAATATTAAATTCATTAATAATAAACTTTAAATTACTTCCTGGCAATGTACCAATACCATCATTCCATTTCAAAATCTTATGGGGATCAAAATCTTTGTTTACTTGAAAAAGAGATTTTGGATCTCTTAATACTTTCATTTCAATCTCATTAGGGTTTTTCTCTTCCTCAACAAATTCTTCAACCTTTGGAGTGATCAGTGGATCAGGAAATTTAATTTCATCCTCATCAAAATCTTTTCTGAATGAAAATTGTGATTTCCTTCTTCTTTCTCTCTCCGGCTTGTGTGCGACTTTTTCATCAGGAATATTACTGACCTTAAGAACGTCTGTATTGCAATCACTATTTTGTGGAAAAGAGTCAAGTTTCTTTTCAGAACTCGCATTATTAATAGTTTTCTTTAGTATAGAAACGCCATGCGAAAACTTTAATAAATCCCTTTGTTTAGGTTCTGGTTTAGCCGACAGATCTCCATATGAGGAATTGCTCTCAGAAGATGAGACGACAAGTTTAGAATCACTTTGATTACTTAAAGAATCTTCAGCAATAGAAAGTTCATAAACATTATTCGACACATCATTTTTATTTGAACTTTCCTTGCATATTTGATGATTAATATTAACACTATTCTCATTTGAATCCTTCATTATCGTCACTGGATTTATACTAGGATCTGCGCACTGTATTCTTCCATCAGCAATTTGAAAATTGTATACTTTTGAAGCAACTGCACCCTCCGGTTCAGTTGTTGGTACTGACATCGGTAGAACAGTAAATTTTGGCTGAACTGAATTGGTTGTTGCAGTAATTGGGAGTCGGTTTGAAGTAATTTTGGGCATGGGCGTTAAAACAATTTTCTGAGGCTGACTTTTTGAGTGAAGAAACCCATTTTTGGAAATTATCATATTATTCTCCTGCAGATTTGGACTGCAAATATTTATCTTGTCTGAATTTACCTTTTCTGACGCCTTAGGTACTTGCTTTAACATAGTTACATAAGTACCAGTTATTTTAGCACCGGAGGGTACAAGCGTAGCCAATGGCTTTGGCAGTAGTAACGACTGGGGTCGACCTGATGCAAAAATCACATTGCTCGAATGCAAAGGTACTGTAGAAGCTGGAGATGACTGGGAACTTGCCGGCGAGAACTGTATTTGAGAGAGGAAGTTATTGCTATTTGTTTTGCTTAATGTAGCAAATGGGAGTTTTGAACTGTTTGGAATGTAAACTAGCGGCAGCACTTGCGTTTTTACTGTTGTAATGTTATTTCCTAAGGTTACAGATGGTACTAAAGAAGACTGCTCGCATTTTGAAATAGTTATGTCATCAGAATTATTTTCTATAATTACTTTGGTATGAGAGTTAATTGTTAATTTTGAATTATCCACTGGTTGTTGATTTGTGGAGATTTCTAGCGAGTTCATTGATGTCGCTGAAGACATCCTGCAAGTGCCCAAACATTTATTAGTCTGAAAATATAATATGATCAAGATACAATAAGTAGTTGAAATGTTTAACTTGTTTTCCATATTTATTATTCCTATTGAACATGCATTCTACGAACTGAAATAACATTGCTAGGCGGAACGATATAAAAACAAAGAAAATAACAACAAAAATTTTGCGTGAGCCCTTGGAAATTCATTTTATATACCCCTCTACAACAACTCTTATAAAATATCAAAATCCAAGCAGTTTGAATATTTTTTTTCTTTTTATCTACAGAATATATTAAAACATTTAAAGTCTTACCTGAAATAGTGTGTAGTATTCTTATTTTAATAAAAAAAATAATTTTTATATGGTACAAAACTATTCATCCAAACCTACGTGAATATTAGACGAGCAACGTTGCCAGATAGCGGAGAAAATTTGATCAACTTAATATTTAAAAATACCTCTTATTTGTTTAATTGTTTTCAGTTAATTCAAGCTTAATTTTAAATCAGTATAAAAATAAAATAGTTAACTCTTTCATTTTTTTAAGCCGCGTAAGAAAAATATGGTTATTATTTTGATATCAATCACCAGATTATCTTCAATAGCACAAAGTGGACACACTAGGATATCAAACTAATTTTCATGTAAGCCATTAGATTGTAAATTGATAATGGAGAGGCTATAAAATTTAAAGAATTGACTTATTGATAAATTTTTTACTGTAAGTCAAAGAAAATGCAGTGAAATGTGACAAACTTTGGCATCGTCGCAGTTCTAAATCAAAGAACGCATGCGTTTTACGCACGGGGTTCGAGGGGCGGGTTGGAAAAGCTGTACAATTTTCCCGCTCTAGAAATTTTTAAAATGCGATATTTATACATATAATGAATATCAGTTTTATTTTGCGACAGCGATGCTAGACCTTAAGAAAACATGATATATTTTGATATCTACATATGTCAAAACAACACTGTGAATTTCATCTTCAAATACCCAATACCAGATAGAAATTTAGATCAAACATATTTGGGATTATCTAGTCACATTTACTGTCTCCCTATGTACTTATTTCCATTTATTTGGAAAATATGATTTTTAAGATTTTTTAGTAGTCAATCAAATTCATTTAAGTGCGAACTACTTCCTAGCAGTTTTAATGCGCATGCAAGAAAGCACGAACAGGCCAGATTGCCGGCCGTCAAAATATCTGACTGTTCAGGAAGTCATATTAATGTCTTGGCTATACAGATGCTTTACTCAAACAAAATTGCTTAGGTTATTTCAAATATTCTAGATAAAAATTTTAAGCAGCATTTCCAAAAACAATTTGATCTTTGTCAGGACAAACGTATCCCACTAACAAATGAGTTGAATGCGAATTTTCTTTCTTCAATAATCTTTGGCAACATTGGCAAACAAAAGCTTTCATATAAGATAACAGCTGTTTGACAAGATTGTATTTGCAGTGTCCCTTATTTAATTTTTGATTGAGGTGATATTGTAAGTAAAACAGTTACATTTATTCAACAAATCTTTTTCAAAAATCTGGTCCTTTGAATAAAAGAATCACCATGTTTTGTCAATAGATATCTGCATAATGTTATGATTACTATTTTTCAGGTATGTACTTTTTTGACATATATAGATAAAAACAATGGTGTTTATTTGTGTAGGTTTAGGTGCAAAAAAGATAAACAATTTCTAAAATGGGAGGTGCTGTGAGTACTGGTCGAAATAACGACGATCTTATAGATAATCTCTTAGAAGCTGATTACATTAAATCATCTTTAATTGAACGGGTATTCAGAGCTGTGGACAGAGCTGAATACTTTTTACCTGAGGCGAGATCGGGTGCTTATAAAGATCTGGCATGGAAAAATGGAAATTTACATTTATCTGCACCTTGCATATACAGCGAAGTAATGGAAGGGCTATGTTTGGAACCAGGATTGTCATTTTTAAACATTGGATCCGGAACTGGATATATAAGTACTATGGTTGGCCTAGTTTTGGGCATTAATGGTATTAATCACGGCATTGAAATACATGAAGACGTTATTCAATATGCAAATAAAAAGTTAGAAGAGTTTAAAAAATATTCAGGTGCTATTGATGAATACGATTTTTGTGAACCAAAGTTTGTCCAAGGTGAGTTACCCCTTTTAGCTCTGTTACCATTTAATTCCCAATAGAATATTGTCAGTTAATTTAAAATAATTTCATTAAAGATACTTACAGCTGATCTTAAATTGTCTATGTGGTCTGACTATGTGGTTGTAGTGAATCAGGGTGTGTTTCCAGGGAATTGTTTGTGCCTTACAAGTGATTGCACAAAATTGTATGACCGCATATATTGTGGAGCTGCATGTCCAGAAGATTATGAAGCTTATATGAAAAATTTATTAAAGGTGGGAGGAATACTAGTGGTGCCAATAAATGAGTCCTTGCTGCAGATCAAGAGAGTGTCTGAAATGGAATGGACCAACCGCACCTTATTACCTGTATCTTTCGCATCTCTGGTTCCACCTCGTGGGGATACAGAAGAATGGGTCGGACCGAGTAAGTTTATTCTGGTAAGGAAGCAGTTCAAATCATTCTTGTGACTTTATTTCAGTCGAAGTTGAGCCATTATCCCTTCAAGTTCTCTGCCGCGGTGTGATTCGTAGTATACTGCGAAAAATTATTGAGAAGGAACATCTGCCTGTTCCGAAACCTCCTCCCATTAAAGCACCCAAAAAGAAGAGAGCTTTGAGACGTTTAGTTATTCCTCTCTTCGAGTCTGATGACAGCTCAGAAGAAGAACGTCAACACCATGTAAGACTAGGTAGGTAATTCTTAACTTTACATCTGTTAACTTTTTCAGTTATTATTTTCGTCGTATTCATCCATTAATTCTATTTACCATTATCATCATCATCCTGTTTAAAATTATATTTACAGATTACTAACATATTTATATACTTGGAGATTGATCGTAGAAACAATTGAAAAATTTCTGTGGGTTTGAAATTGTTTGAAATCTAAATATTGCAAAAATAAAGTAGTACATTATGGTGGAGTTAGATAAATCAAAGAAAAGAAGGGATTCTTTCTTCACAAAATCTTTTAGAGATGTTTTGATAATACAAATTTATTATCATCTGGGTTTCCACTGTAAGTTTTCAGAACACCAGAATTAACCTAGAAGAAAATGGTTTAATAACAAAAACCTTATAAGGAACAATTACTGATTCCGTTTTGAAGAAAGAAAAAAAAAAGATTTATATAAAAAATGTAAAGAAATGTTAAACTGAGATGTCAATCTTTTCTGATTGGAATTTATACAATGAAGAAGAAACATTAACCCAATCCAATTACTCAACCTAAGGACGTGTAATTAAAAAAAATCAAAAATTTGACCTAGTTCAATTTAAAATCATAATTTAAAACCTATAGACCCTAGGGGTTTTGATATCTATTAATGATGATTTTGCGTTTATAGGTTTATAGGTTTTAAAGCTCTCTAGTTTAATTTTATTAGGTACTTTATTACAGAATATTATAAACGAGTAAGTAGGTCTTTGTGGTTTCTGTGGTCCTAAATCCATGTTTGTCCATATCCATTGTTTCCCATAAGGTTTTTTTACAAAACAAATATCTTTTTATTCTATTGATTGAGGCGGACTAGCGGGTGATTTGCGGGTCTTATCACTAATTTTGTGGAGAAAGGCTTTTCTTTTCTTTGGCATATCTATTTATTTATTACAGGTGGAGAAAGGAACAGAGATGCCGGTCGAGCAACTTTTTTAAGAGAAGATGATTACATTCTCAGCCTGTTTTTAGGGATCCGAGGGCGGCAGGGAGCAGGTAATAAAGCTATAACATATCGCCTGGAATAAATTCTTATTGCGTGCATAGTTTACAGAGGTTTGCATTGGTTTATGGTTTTCAGGCGAACGTGGAGATCGCACAGGCACCGGCACTACTCAAAATCAGAAAAAGACTGACACAACCGAAGAACCGATGGAGACCGATAGCAGCATTGAAGATTCGTCGGACACTCGGAACAAGGACTCGCAAGAGGTGCAAGCCGTCATAGAACATCACCCCGATTCCAAGGATAATCAAAATGCAATGAACGAGCCTAGCAGGAGACCTTCACTAGAAACATTCAATGAAATTGGAGATGTCATCTCAGAATGTCTTAATGTACTGCGTAGAGAAAGGGGTGGCTCGGTTGAAAATCAAGAAGATATACTCTCAGAAGATGAAGACAATGTTAGTAATCGCGAAGATAAAGAGGCGAGGCAATCAGACGCTCAACACAATTGGCCAACCACAAGCGGAGGCAAGAAGAATAACAAACGTGAAAAGTTTGATAGCGGATTGGGCGATGAAATTATTGAAACTCAAGATTCGTCGGATGACGACGAGCGTATGAAACTCGACACAATTTCAAGTTGCGACGAAGATCCCGCCGAGAAACGTAACAAACGAGGTACGAAGGCAGAAAGACAACACCGCAAGTCTCGGAAGATGGATGATATTCACGAACCTGTGTTTTCAGATACAAGTAGCAGTGATAACGACGATGACACTAGGCCATCGAAGGAGATGCACATGTACAAAAGTCCATATACCGAACAAATGGCAATAAAAATTCAACAATTGCCTTTGCCGCCAATTTTAAAGAAGTACCTTAATTTTCTTAGGGACTTGTAAAGAGCGTGCAGGTTGACATTCTTTAGCTTTTTAGTAGTAAATATTTTATACTCTAAATTGCAAGATGTCAGCGAAGATTCTAACAGTCAGCGGTTTTCCTTGGTAGACGTTGTGGTGTCATTGTAGTTCACTAAACAAATAAACACCCTATATATTTAGTTTGCGCAATAGATGCCCCCTTTGTTTTTTTTGTGGTTATTCTGTAAATAATTTTATTCTTACTATTTATGTTGTGAATTAATTGGGAGTTTAATAAACTTAAATTTTATATAGTTGCCTATTTTTTGTAAATCTGTGAGTCAATTGCTTACAAAGTGAATTGGAACAGTTCAGTTTAGAATATCACCTTGATTGATTTTCATATAATTAAACCGCATATAAGTTCGGAATTGCTCTCTTTTCGTAGATACAGGATGTCAAACTTAAAAAAAAAGTTTTTTCAAATTAAGCGGTTAAAAGGGCAATTTTTTTTGTTTCTGACATTTGTAGTATATTTAGCAAAAAATTGCAAGACACGGAAAACCAAGTATTGAAAAAACAAAAAAAAAAGTTTTTTGTGTGTTAATTTAAAAAATTAATAATAAAGTGGGAATTATACTGTATATGTTCCAAACAACCGTGACAAAAATTGGCATCGGACGGTTTTTTATATTTTTTTCTACTCCCGTCTGTAAAATACCTAATTACGCACCCACCTAGCGAACGGGAAGCGTTACTTTGCCACATAAATTGCGTTTCCCACGGATCCGAGCTACTTCGGACATTTCCGGGATTTTACCGCAGGGATTTGGGAGCAATCGGATGTTTTCGGAGATATTTCCCACGCTTTGAATTTTGACGTTTGTCAATTCTGACGGTCATGTCAGTTAATGTATTCGTACTATTTTGCGAAAATGTACCCAAAAACTAACGGTCGTAGAAGAAGTATAGTATGCAACACGTTCGGTAAACTTTTTAAGTCACTCGTTTATTAAACACTCGCTCCGCTGCGCTTCGCTCGTGTCAAATAAACTCGTGAGTCAAATGCCGTTTACAGCAATTGTTGCATAATATACTAATTATATACCTTTATGTAAGGTTATGTGAAATATCCATCATTGCCAGAGCTTAACTGGAACCAAACAAGAAGCCCAATAGAATGTTTGGCGAAACGTCGATGTTTTCGAAAATATTACCGCACTGCTTGAATTTTGATGTTTGTCAATTCTGACAGTCATGTCAGTGAATTTATTCATGTTTTTAAAAAATGTAGTCAAAAACTACCGGTCGAAAAAAAAATCCTTGTTCAATTAAACTTTGCTAGCGTATTTTATTAACACCCTTTGTTTTATATCCACCATTTTGACAGCAAAACGGTTGTACAGAATATTACAAAGTAAATGCACAAAATGTAACGTTGTCTAAATAGACAGGTATGAATTATACTTCCTGTGTTTCGCGAAGAAGAGTGATGTAGGACATGGCGGCTTTTAAAACCTAAAATCACAATTATCACCCTTTACAATATATAATTTTTTTTGCAGTATAGTATTATGCTATCCATACTTCACTCCGAAAATCCTGAAAGGAAAAATTGGCCTTGAGGATTCTGCAATATGATATGACTAAATCCTCAAGGCCAGGAGTGCGTGAGCAGCACCCTAGTTGCTTATCATGGCAAACAAACATTTAGTAGATATTTCTTTATCCCAAATGATTTTTATTATTACGTTGCATTATATACCTGTATTATAACATTCAAAGACATTATTGCCAAAGGTCCTCCTCTCAATACCAAAGGTTTTTGACTTCGCAATAATACAAAAGCGAAATCTATTTGTGCCCCTTTGTCGAGATCGTCCCATGTACTCTTCAGATATATTTCATCTCCTAATGCCACGCTCTAAAAAATTATAGCTAAATACGACACGTAATGGACAAAGCATCAAATAGACGTTATAGTCATATGGCTACTAAAAATATATAGGCCCTGTCTATGCTGATAATAAGGGAGCTTTTGAAGCAACCTTAAAAAGTAAAATTTGACCACGCTCATTCGATATGTGCAGGCGCGATTATTTTAAATTTCTTTTTTATAAAGTAAAGCCTGTCATTTCAAACGAACCAATAAGACTTTGTGGTTTTCAATAATCTACATGATCGCTGACAGTTCTTCTATTCGATAGTTCTAAATTAAATTTTCAGGAAAAAAAGAAGTTTGCAAAGTTGTTTAGAAAAAAAGGCGCAAATAGTGTGAGAGGCTTATTGGCACGTGTGGAAGATCATTCCTTTCTTTACGAAAATGTCTTAGCCGTCTGAGTAGTAGCAGTTTTACAATGTTAGCGGTTCTTATATTATATAGCTATACGATGCCAACCGGAAAAGTGAGAAATTGAAGTTGCTCAAGTGAATATCTTCGACAATGGTAAAACATAATTTTTCTTAAAAAACATTATCTTATCCAGTTAAAACATTGCACTAACAGTATCTAAGCAATTACGCATTTTGTTGGTTGTTTGAAAGTTCAACCCATGACATAAGTTTTTTAATTTTTTTTTCAATAACGCTAAATAAACAAAAACTTATATAAAAAAGAACCGACTGCTGTGCTTGTTGCAGATGTGTACATTTTATAACTTCAAAAAAGGGGAAAAAACAAAAAGTACTTTCCCCTTGTTATTGTTTTAAATTGGAAAATGGGTTTTATAATAAATGAGACACTGTTATTAGGTAAAATAGCACTTCTACCTTCTCCATGAGACGGTGTCCCGCATAGCAGATCAGTACTAGTCCCACAAACCAACCATAAAACGTAGCCAGGAGCAGCGTCGAATGGGTCTGCAAGTTGCGAATCCTCGAATAAGTCGAAACCACAAAAACAAGCCCTACCTGCATAAAGCCAAAGGCGGAGATTCCCAAAATTGCCGACGTTAGTATAACATGAAGAACGGCTACGTTCTTAAGAGAGGCGTTTGCGAACTCTCCTGTTCTGAAAACACATTTTATTCATAAAGCAATAAATCGTAGCCTACTTAAAGAATGGGATTTTATAAGAATCAATGCCTAAAATAAGCATGATTTAATTGTTTTGGGTTTGTAAAATATTTAATGTGTTCTCTTTGTGGAACAGGTAGTAGACAGACTGGCGTTGTATTTCGATTATTTGTGATGCTAATGCTAATGACGACGATTATCTCGGAGAAATGGGTTTTAATATATATATATATATATATATATATATATATATATATATATATATATATATATATATATATATATATATATATATATATATATATATATATGATGACACTATATTCCGGGATATCATCCGTTCGCTCGTTGAACTCCGACTGGAATCCTGCATTCGACTGGAATCCTGCAAATCTTGCATCCGACTGGAATCCTGCAGACGTTTCGCCAAAATCTCACTTGGCATCTTCGATGCTCGCGCTCCGAAAACACTTCGAACACTGTTTTTTCGGGGCGCGAGCATCGAAGATGCCAAGTGAGATTTTGGCGAAACGTCTGCAGGATTCCAGTCGGATGCAAGATTTGCAGGATTCCAGTCGGATGCAGGATTCCAGTCGGAGTTCAACGAGCGAACGGATGATATCCCGGAATATAATGTCATCACATTTTTCCATCCGTGAATCAATACGTGAGAATATATATATATATATATATATATATATATATATATATATATATATATATATATATATATATATATATATATATATATATATATATATATATATATATATATTCACGGATGGAAAAATGTGATGACACTATATTCCGGGATATCATCCGTTCGCTCGTTGAACTCCGACTGGAATCCTGCATCCAACTGGAATCCTGGAATCGAGTGTTCGAAGTGTTTTCGGAGCGCGAGCATTGAAGATGCCAAGTGAGATTTTAGCGAAACGTCTGCAGGATTCCAGTCGGATGCAGGATTCCAGTCAGAGTTCAACGAGCGAACGGATGATATCCCGGAATATAGTGTCATCATATATATATATATATATATATATATATATATATATATATATATATATATGTCGGCATCTCTATTGGCTTATGCTTGGCAATTTTCTCCGAAGTTTTGGGCATGAAACGTGGGCATGAAACGTGGGGCAGTAAAATTTGTTCCGAAAAAGCTTAATTTTGAACAAAAGAACCGTTGAAGGAGCAAACGACGTCAATGTTGATCCTGATATGTTCAAAAAGTCATAACTAGTGTCGAATCATGTGTATATGGAAACCAATCGAAACCAAAGTCCAATGGATGAGCCCAAAATCGCTATGACCGAAAGAAGCACGTCAAATTCGATCAAATCTCCAGATTTTGCTTACTGTTTTCTTTGATTATCGGCGTTCTTACTACAAGGTCTTACGGTCAATAACGATTATTACCTTGAAGTTATGCACCGTTTGCGAGAAGCAATACGAAGAAACGAATTGTGGGAAAATAATTCGTGGATTTTGCATGACGATAATGCACATGGTCACTCATAGTTGCTTGTGTCTAACTTTTTGGCCAAAAACAAAACCACAATCATACCTCTGCCACCAAATTCACCGGATATGGCACCCTGCGACTTTTTCCTGTTCGAGAAACCCATTAAAGGAAGGAGGTTTTTAATGATTGAGAGGATAAACAAAAATCGTGGGAGGAACTCAAGGCTATACCAGAAAATGCTTACCAGAAGTGCTTCGAGAATTGGAACCATTATATCTGGGGGGGGGTACTTTGAAGGGGACAACATTAATTTTGATGATTAAATAAATAATTTTTGATAAAATTTAAAAATCACCTTACTTCTTGAGCACATCTCATGTTTGCCCGGATTATGTTTACGTTTCAGTGTTTTTAACTCATTCTCAAAGAATGGGAATAGTTGGTTGCTACCATAGCTACAACATTAATATGCAAAAGCTTACTCGTAGACGAGATTGTGATAAAATACGGCTTGGGCAAATAAGGCTTTTCTGTTACGGATACATTTCGCATTGACTGCGTCCACGAACTTGCGTGCAGTAAGTTTCATGCAAAATATTACATGCTCGATAATTTCAAGAATTATCCAAGAAATTTCTCCGGCAACGAGGTAGAGATAAAACGCATCTACCGATTGGATTACGTAAAATACATCCCTCGTAGGGAAACGGTTAACGTCAAACGGCATCCAGGCGTTAGGAAGAAGTCCGCACGTTACGTTGGACCTCATTTCAGTCCGTTGCTTTTCGCAGCTAGTCCTGGTAAATAAAGGGGCTGATATCAAAAGCACAATTGACGATATCAGATAGACGCAATGCGTTTTTGAATAGAAGTTCATCTTTTCGGTAAACGTGGCTCGAGCTGGCGATTTTTCGCATTCGTGAAAGTTAGAAATTGAGGTGAGGAGTTTCAAAAAGCTTCTAATATTCGCAATGAACGCGAAAGTGATCCAGTAACAGCCGAATAAGCATATGGTCGTTAGCAAGTCAATGTATATGTCGCCGTACTGGTGATCTGAAACAAACAAAACAAGATTGGTTTCGAAAAATAGTCGCTGATAGTCGCTGGGCGGGGCAAGTTTGTAGCGCGTAGCGCGAAACAGCTTTTTATTTTAAGAATAATGCGCTTCGCGGTTTCTTGTCCTACAGGGACGCATTGTGCTCCTGCGGACCACTATGAAACTTTCGCAAAATCGATGTAATTTAATTGTGCATGCACCATGTATAAAGTGTCCTTCAGATCTCGGTGAAGTTCAAAGTTACGGCAAACTTCGGTAAATATTAAAATTTGTACTGGTAATTACAATTTAAAATTATATTTTTCAAATATCTTTGCGTCCCCTGTACTATATACGAAACCTTAAACTCTCTCTCGACACAGTTTACGATACTGTTCATATCACACTTATCGTGTTTCATATCAATGTTCAAAAAATAGTCGAAAATCGCGAAAAAAAGATGGATACCGGCCTCGGATTGGGGCCATTTCTTATAAGCTTGGTTGTGCCTCGTGGAGGGTTAAAAAGCAGGCAAAGTTTAATTTTGTAGCTCCAACGGTTCGAAAGTTATTCAAGAAAAACCAAAAGACGAGAATGGACAACGGAGATCGGAGAACGGAGAACGGACAATCAGACAAAAAACATTTTTTTTTGGACGGTGATCATTTCTGTACCAACGGCGATCCCATATTACTTACCGTTACCGAGATATAAAATTTTTATACGAGCGCAGATACTTTCGAAAAATTCGATTTCATCGATTTTCTAAGAGAGAACAGGGCGATTTCTAAAATGTATTAAAAGTATTCTCTTTAATACCGTTTACTTTATTTATGAAAGACTTCATAATGCACCGGAATCGTAATATTGCTTTATATAAGAAGTTTGGTAAAGGAGTTTGATTTGGCATCAGCATGCGGATCAAGTGTTTAAAAAACGAGTTTATCTAAAGAAGTCTCAATTTATTGCATACTAATACTTTTTTTTTATAATTGTTTGCTAAACAGTGTGAATATATTTCACTGAGTGACAAACGTGAAAATATTATTGCTGAAATCTACCGCAAACATACAATCCCTTCAAACCCGTCGCCAAAGTACACGAAAAGCCTCGCTACAGTAGTTGATGTTTTAAAGTGTACACTTTCGGTCTACTGAATCAGTCCATAAATGGGTATTTTAGAGTAGGGAGTAAAAAAATCATTAGTATTGTTAAATATTAATATTAAATATCGTATTATTTGTTTCCAATACGTAGTTACAACTTTTGAAACATTTTAATATTTTTAATTGTTAATTATATATTTTACTTATTTATTTTTATGCATACAATTGCAAAAGATAATAATATTTTTTTAATTTAGAAACAGTAATTACATAAATAGATAAACAGAAGGCAGAATTAAATTTTAAAAAATGCATATGTACCTCATTGTATTAACTAAAGCAGCTAAATTGTATTTTTAGCATTGTTTCTGCCAAAAAACATAAGTATGCATTGAAATGCAAATCGCGCAAATAAAAACTAATAAGTTTAGTCATAGCATACTATTATACAAAATGTGTTTAGAATTAATGGTATAATTCTAATATGGGAGGATTTTACACGTTTATGGGACATCCTTTAGATACAAAAAATAAGTTATGCGCGTCAAGACACTGCACAAATTGCTAGTTTAATTTTTTTTCTTTTGCGAACCGTTTGCAAGATGTCAACCGCCCACGTACTATTAGGACACCCTGTGTATAAATACATACCTACATTTTGGCATTAAGATTATTAGTGGCTTTTTTGTCTTGCTAATCAGCTTAGGAAAGACCCCCTTATGACAGTTTACTTTGTTACTTAAATTCTGTATTCCAGACATTTTCTTTATTTGTCAGAAGATTACCGGGTACCATATGTTAAAAAAGACAAAAAAATTGAAGAAATGGCATTGGTTTCTGGTTTTTACGTTTAATATCTAATACTAATACTAATAATAAGTTTAGGAGATATCAGTAACCAGAAGATATGAAAATGATTGTTTATGTACATTATACATCATTTATAAATGACAATGTTCTTTATTTGATTTGCTATAACAACTGGATCCACAAATAAAATAACTAACTACTACTAATGAACCAAAAAAAAAAAAATAAATAAACACCGTGGCATTGTTTCAATAACTCCCAGTTATCTTCTGTCGTCTTTCGTAACAATTTTGAAAGTAACTCACCCAAAACAGACACTATGAAGTGCAAAATGCAGCCTATTAAATATATGCTCGATATGAGAAAAAATCCCGAGTACTTCAAATAAAACCATTTTCCAAGATATCGTTCATGCCGCTTTTTCGGGAAAACGCCGCATATATTTAGCAGCTTAAGGGTAAACTCAGCTTCTCTCAGTTCTTGAGGCTTTTTAACGCTCATTTCTGAGTCGTGCCGCAAACTAACAGGAAAACATGGTCGGTTCGAAAATTATAGTAGAATATCGGT